AAAAAAAAAAAAAAAAAAAAAAAAAAAAAAAAAAAAAAAAGAAATGACCAAGGCTTAGAGAGGTGAGAACAGAAATTACTGCTAAATGTTATTGACCTGACACCACTGCAAGATAAATGTGAAACAGATATGTGAATTTCCCAGACAGCTGACCCTCACCTCATCAAGCATTTTAATTTGTCCTAAATTTTGCACGAACAAAATCAGCCTTGTATATGAAGAAAGTGAGCGGTTTCAGACCAGAGGCAGAGAGACCCATTTAGATACTGTAGAAATAGTTCATGGCGGAAATGATTCAGGGTCAGTATTATAAATAGAGAATTATAATAAACTCAAAGACTTATTTAGAAGGGACCTATGAGAGTACTGACTGCATGCTGGTGTCATATATACATTGAGGGATACTGAGAGGCACAGAACTATTTGATTTTGTAATACATACCCCAGGTTACTAGGTTCTTTACCAAGGTTAGCTAAGTTTTTTTGTTTCCTCTTTTACTGATGTTCGTATTTTCTGTTAATACCTTTGTACTCCTTGCCCTGCTAGGTTATGTGCTGAGAAACCATATCTCCACATTTACTATAATTATGTCTAAATTAACAAAGAGCCCATAGACTGTGGATAAGTACCCTAGAAACCCTCTCACGAGAGCAAAGAACATGAATTTTATAGCACAGATTTTACAACACCTATTCTGACTCTTAGAAGATATTTTGGCTTACGTTTACTTGGCTGTATTCCCAATGACTGGATACATGACCTCTAGAAAAATGAGGTTGTAATGCATGTTCTACATGTGATGTATTCCTTGCTATAATTCCCCCCCCCCAGTATAGTTTTACTACCCCACAGTGTCCCACAGTCAGAACATAATTTATTAAAAAGGGAATGACTGGTTTGACTTCTGAAAATATCCTTTCTCCTTGGTTAAGACCAACGAGGTAAACGTGGTTAAGGTGTCAGGAACACAGTCTCAGGAATTACTGCCTTCAGGAACATTAAAAACCAAATTTATTATCTGCTGACTTTAATGTGCTTCCTGAGCTTTGTCATCTGAGAAGTAAAGCTCTGGAAAATATATATTTCTTTCAGGTTCAAGGACACTCTCACAAAATGGCACAAGTTTCTCTGTGGCTTTTGTGAAAGACAGATGAGGGAATTCCTAGAAAACCAGGCCAAGGCAGCACAATGACAGTTCTGTTAGAGGGAGTAGGAGTGTTGGTGCCACTGTAAAAATAAATTAAGAACACATTATGACTGTGGAAGAAAAATATTCTGAGGTCTATCCAATTTCACTACTAAAAACTTGAGAAAATGGCAACTGAGATTCAAAGACCAATCTGTACATCATTAATGGCTGTAGAGAACGATGTTAGGATGAGAAATCCCAGCAATCCTTGACCTCCCTGGCCTCCTGGTTCACATGCCTCCCAAATCCCAGACTCTGGAGAGGACACGCCACCCCCTTCTCTACTCCAGCTCCTAAACTGATGAAAGTTGTTGACAAAAGTTAAGGCAAATTTGAAGTACTCTAAGTTTTTTGCTTCCCAAACTCCTTGTGGCTTAACTTTTATCCAATCTCTCCACCACTTCTGCTCCAGAAAAACAAATATTCCCTTTTCTTTCTAACTCTGTATCTATGACCTTATTTTCCCCTTCCAGCTTCAGACTTATGCTCCACTAGTTTCCCCTTTTTCCTATTTTCAATTATTCCTTCTTCATAGACCTTTTCCCATTTTTGTGCCTTATCCTACAAGCAAACAAAGACAGATCAAGAACACCACTCTCCTTCCAATCTTACTTCCTGAAGCTACCATCAGCTCTTTTCCTATACCAACCAAGTGTTTTTATTTTCCTCAGTTTTTTCCCTGACAAATTTGTTGTAAGTCAAGTCTAGTCTTACCACCTCCACTTCCACATCCACATGCCCTGGTTAAATTGCTGCAATCTAGGCGTATATGCACTCACATTTTAATGGACCAATTCTCTAAAGAACTATTAATCACCTCCTAGGAGTCAGATGTCTTTGGCCTATTTTCAGGCTCCATCCTATTGGATATATCCATAATTCATATTCTGCACTGTTGGCAGCCTCTCTTTCTAGAAATTTCCTACTGTTTATTCTCTGATGCCAAGCCCTCCTGGTTTTCTTCTGATGATAATTTTTCTCAGTTGCCTCATTACTTCTTTCCCCTTATATGTATGTATTCCCAAAGATCTGTGCTTAGTTTTCTTTATTCTACATAGCCTCATCCATTCTATGGCTCCAAAGTTGGATTTTTATACTGTCTCAATTTCCTTCCTGCAACTCATTCCTCCACCTGTTCCTGGGCCCATCACTCTACCAGATGACCTCCGAATTGAGAAATTCAGGCCCTATTTTACTTCTCAGCAGATTGCTGACCATCCTGCTCTTCCTCTGCTTCTGTCACACATCACTCCATCCTTCCCGTCAATCTTCCTGGCATCTTCCCTGCTTCCTATGCAAGCCCTCCCTCTTCTTCTCAAACATTAAACATCAGCGTTCCTCAAGGTACTCTCCCCGTATCACTCAGTATTCACCTCCAGCCTCAATTACATGGATAGAACAGTACTACAAAAAGCTCATGCAAAGGTGTCCGGAGCCATAGAGCCAGGCTGCCTGCCCGTCCGGAGCCAAAGAGCCCACCCAGCTATTGCCTCGAGGCCTCAGAGCCTTGTTTGCTGTTATCTTCCGTCCCTCCCCCTCCTGTGCACTATGGGTGTAGGTAAGCCCAGCTATTGCCTTGAGGCCTCAGAGCCTTGTTTGCTGTTATCTTCCGTCCCTCCCCCTCCTGTGCACTATGGGTGTGGGTAACTTTGCAACTTGCCATAGATAACGGGAATTTTCCATTTACCGGAACAACCCGCCCTGCGGTTTTCTCAGTAAGCCATCTGCTGCTCACTTCCTTATCTGCTGATTCCCTCCTGCTGTCTATATAAGCTGTGACCTTCTGGCTAATAAACGAGACTTGATCAGAATACTGTCTTGTCTCCATTTCTCGTGTCTCTTGTCCCATCCAATTCCCACTCCCCCCTCCAGGGTCTGCGTTGAATATCCCGCGGGTCGGGACACAAAGGTCTGTATTATCTTTTCATTCTATTTTTCCACAAACTTTCTGAAATATCCTTATATATGGAAGACTCAGAAATATTTACCTGTAGCCTACATTTCTTTGAGCTCTAGACACACACATGCACACCCACAAACTGCCTCTTTAGATCTCCCCTTAGATGTCGCAAAGGAATCTCAAACTCAGTATGTTCAAAATAAACTTAGGATTTCTTTCCAAATCTGGTTCTCTTGCAGCTCTTCCTGAACAATACCCCCATCCTTCCAGTTGTGAGACAAACTAGGAAGTCACGCTTGATACCTCCCTTTCACCCCAGTATCCATCCACTACCAATATCCAATCTATTCCACCTCCCAAATATCTCCAAGCATTGTCTATTCCTCATCATCCACATTTCCACTATTTTAACCAAGATGAACAAGAATTCATCTTAAATACTGGTAAGGATGCATACTAATTCTGCTGTTTAAAAAAATGTTTTAAAAATACCAGATTCCCAATAATATTGGTCGACCTGGAATATAGGCATGAATCCAAAAAAAAAAAAAAAAAAGCCTCTTAACAATGAGGAAAACTGTCATCACAAAGCTATTACTACCTTTGTGGTACTGTTAACCATTTCTAATCCATTCTGATTGGAGGAATTTGTATTACCTGGAATATAGGCATGAATCCAAAAAAAAAAAAAAAAAGCCTTCTTAACAATGAGGAAAACTGTCATCACAAAGCTATTACTACCTTTGTGGTACTGTTAACCATTTCTAATCCATTCTGATTGGAGGAATTTGTATTTAAAAAATAAAGGCAACTGATTTAACAAGTTTGAACATTGGGCTCCACATTTGGAAAATGTGGAAACAAATGGTTTCTGAGAATTTCACTCTTTAACTGTCCGGAACTCAACTGGTGTTTATAATAATGACCTGATTTTACAAGACCATATATTGTTAAAGTCTGCTTTGTATGGAAAGGATGTTTCTAACATATTTAGAATGGTTTTTATCCACAAAGGTTTCAAAAATTTTGAAGTTCTAGGTATTTATCCTCAATGACTTCACTTTTAGACAAAGCTGGATAAATGAGGTGTTCCTGAACATTATCACATAAAAATTGGTGCTAACTATATGGGAGATAGAATGTATAGTTCATGAATTTCCACTGGTAGATGATGATCCATATTTAACAGCATAAATCCATTCATATTCTGGTCTATACTGCCAGCAATTAATGAGTAAAAATATTTCAGTCAAAATCTAAAAAGACTGCTTGGAATTTCTTAAGAAAACTGGAAGGAAAAGGAAATTTATCCCTGGAATATTATTTTAACATCCAGCTTCAGTGATAGAACATGAATAGCTCAGCCTTTTGAACAGTTTCAATCAAGATCATTAGATTTATGACAAAATAGGTCATAAAAGATAAATGTGGTCAAAGAGACAACAATAAAAACCATCCAAATGCATTAAAATATTGATTGTTAGGAAGAATCAATCACAAACACACAGTAAAGTGTAGGAGGATCTGAGCCATTTCCTAAAAAGAAAGTGACACTATGATTTCAGTGTGCCAATACCTGCTGTGGGGGAGTTTGCGTGGTGAGACTTTTTTGGCAGGTTGAAGATCTGTTCGCCAGGGTCAGGCGGAGGAATTGCATCTTGCCCTTGTCGTGCCTCTACAGGATCATACTCCTTCCCATCGTAGTTAGCGTCATAGAATTTCTTAAACCACTGAATAAAATCCAAGTTGTCCTGGAAACGTCCTTTCACTAGCTTCTCCACTGGAATTACCTGCAATATAAAATATCTATGTGAGTCACGAACCTCAGGTTTGTTTGTATTTACAACTGAAGTGTTCCCTACACATAATTATTTCCTACATGCCTGCAATCATGACCACTGATCTCTCCCTCAGCTTCTTTAGCCAGCTGTATTCTAGAAGTAATATAATTTTCATCATATTATAGAAGTATTAAACCAAAACATCACAGTTGGTTCTCTTGGAATATTTAATACCTCTATACAAACCAGACACAAGAAGGAATATCCTTAGCTGTCAAAAGGGGCTCGTCTCTCTCAAATACATTCATATTTATTCTTAAAGCATCTCCCCATAAAAATACAGGCCTGGGATGTTGTGCTATTTCAAGATTGATAAGCTTTCCTTATTTCTCTGTAATCCTTGGCCAATTGTGTTGGGATTAACTCTTATAAGGATTATAGCTACCAGACAGTGCAAATTAATAAGATCAAATCAGTGAAAATATCTACCAATCAAATGGTTCATATGAAACAAACTGAGCTTTCCCAGAGCTTACTTACAATGTACAGAGACAAGTATGAAAACCACTAACCACAATCCAGGACTCAGTAATTCACAGGCTACCTGGGAGCAAAGCTAACATGCCATGGGAGTGCAGAGGAAAGAAAGGCTGACCGAGGGGTCCCAGAAGGCACTCTGGAGGAGGTGGCCAGCACTCACATCAACTTGTGAGAAGTGATTCTCAGCTTTTCATGGAGGAAACTTTCTGGCTGCAATCTAAAGAGTCAGCCAGTATTCCCTATGGAGGTCTTAGGGAATCTTCAGAGTGATGTCAAGGACAAAGTGTGGTTTGACTGCTTAGTTTTAATTCAGTGGGCCACTATTTTTGAAGGAAAATAGAAAGGCACCTAGCTACCCAAATTGCACCATTATCAGATTCTTTCTTACTACATCTTTAGGTATGAATTTTAGTTGAATGGGAACTACAAGAGAGTCACAGAGCTAAGGTATGAGTCAGATGGTGTGTACGTAACTGTGTGAGCACAATCAGAAGCCCAGCACTCAAAGCACATGGGATCACTGTGTGACAAAATGAATGGAAGCTGTATAAATTAAACTTTTAGCAAGGCTTTACCACCTCAGGAGCTATATACCATTGATATCCTAAAATGTATCTGGAGGACCAGTTTAAAAAATGTAGAGAGATCTTAAATATCATGACAACTTGAAAGGAAAAAGCAACTGAAGCCTTTTAGGCCATCCATTAAACTGAATCATTAGCAATAAATTTTCCAAAAATGTTGTTTATGCAGCTAAAATAGAAACTAAACCAAGTACAAAATAAAAAAAGGAGAAGCAAACTTTTGGAGGAGACCACATTTTTCATGGAGACTTTCTGGTAACAGAGACTCTGGTGACCAAGTACAAAATAAAAAAAGGAGAAGCAAACTTTTGGAGGAGACCACATTTTTCATGGAGACTTTCTGGTAACAGAGACTCTGGTGCTGATATTTCCTTCCTTTTGGTTCCCCTGAACTCCAGTGAAGTCAGCGCACAAGGAGGAATTCCTGCCACATGTGCACTTAATTGACTTTTCATTATACTATTTAATTACTTCTGTCTTCTGAGTTTTCAATTTTTGTTTATGTTGATTGATTTTTAAGAAAATGACTTCTTAATGACTTCTTAGAGCATAAGGCCCTTTAACACACTACTGTACTTTGTCTATTGCCAGATGTAAAAAATTTTAAATAATTTTAGATGACAGTGGTACATTAGCTGTTAAAAGAAGGCACTTACGTTGACTTAATTTTGCATTCCCTATCCAAATAAAAGTTTCAGGAGCATAAATTCAAAATCTGAGGTGGCAAGCAAAACTTTGCACAGAAACTTCAGATATGCTGTCAGGCTATGACAAACATGAACAGGGCTACCTAACACTGTCTCTCATAAGACTTCTGGATTGAATCTTAGCTTATTAAAGCCAGAGAAGCATGTACAGAGAAATGAATGAAAAAGACATAAGTGGTGCTGCTAATTTATAAAAGTAAGGAAGACCTATACAGCTCCAGTTTTAAAAATATATGGAAGGAACCAACGGGAAATTAACTACAGCAAAGGACATAAAGAAAGTTGGAAAGAATGTGAAGGGTTGGGCTGGCCCGGTGGTGCACTGGAGAGTGTGCCACTTGGGAGCGCAGCAGTGCTCCCGCTGAGGGTTCGGATCCCATGTGGAGACCGGTTCCTGCTCACTGGCTGAGCGCGGTGCGGGCGCGACACCGAGGGTTGTGATCCCGTTACCGGTCAGTAAAAAAGACAAAAAGGAAAAAAAAAAAAAAGAATGTGAAGGGTTAAGATGTGAAAAAGACTGTATGTTTTGAAATTAAAATTCTGAAAAACTGGGAAGCCAAGATCATCTTAATATTTTGTTAAGAATGCTTTTATTTAGCAAGATATAAACTGCAGTAAATTAAAAAATATATAGTTTATCAAAGTTTTCTTTCCTTTAAACTCTATCTCTTACAATTTAGTATTTCATTTTTTTATTTCCATAGCCTGTGTATTACTACCATTTATACAAAGAAAAGTTTTCCATTTCTGCCATGCTGATTTATCCCTTTTCCATTATTTAAAACTCATTTCTTTCCAAGCTTATTCACTCTAAGAGATATATCCTAAAGAAGGAACATGGATTAGATATGTATTTGTATAGCAGTAGACATGTAGAAACAGACTGATTGGGTTTTAGTAATAACAGTCTCTTATTGAGAGGAAAAGGACTCCAGCCCAACTCTGTTTGTATCACTCCAGGACAAAATTATAATAGTTCAAAGGAAGAAAAAAGGGCAATTTACAGACATTGAGAATCTGAGGGCATACACTATGCTGAACATTTTCACATGCATTCCCTCATTTCAACCATGGGTAAGGGGGTTTTAGTACCCATTTTATAGATGGGTAAACTCAGACTCAAAGAATTTAAATAACTTGCTCATGTCATTAAGGTGGGATTCAAACCCATGTGGTTTCTACCTTAACATGCTATTCCTCCAAAGAAACAAAATATACAAAGAACCACAGTGGCATCTGGCAAACATAAGTTTCTTATCTGCAATGCTAAAACATAATAACAGTTTAACCTTAGTAACTCCTGTTAGGTTTTAGTCTAATGGCTACAAGTTTAGAAAATCCCCTGAAATAATCACCTCATGCAAACATGGGACATGAGGGTTGATGCTGTATGCTACATACACACCCCAACCTAATACTGAGATATCAATAATATATCCCATCGATACATTCCTGGGGTTTTGCATTTCTGCTGAAAAACAATATTAAGGAAAGACAGTGCATTTTATGGAGGTACAAGTGAGTCTCCTACCTTATCAACGTTCATTCGCTTAAACGATGCTTGCAGAAGTTTAAAATTGTGAATATACTCATGCTCCAATTTTGCTTGAAATTTTACTTTCTTCAAACTAATGCAGCCTGGAAAAAGCATGTCCATGAACTGGCAATAGGCTGCTCCTGGAAAGAGACAAGAAAAGTATTGGCATGAATCTGGCTGTACCCAGATGTGGGCAGAAGATTGCTAGGCCTGAAGGTGATCGTGCTTAAGGAGCCATTATCACTTAGAACAGGGCCGTCCTGGCTGTGTGTGTCTCTCTTGTCACTGCACTTACGCCTCCTTGTTCACAGGGGCTGGGCGCTGGAGGGAAGGGATCATGCCTTGATGACATGGCGCTGCCACCTTTACATTCCTAACCACTTTGTATTAATTACACTGTGTACTAGGGAATCACTAAGTTCCATGTGACCAGCGAATGGAACCTGATGCTATAATGCCAAGGAAACTAGGGTGAGAATAACTCTTCCTAGTTTCCACCAGAGAGAGGGAACATACTTTTTCTTCAATTTAGCTACTACCTGCTCCAAGTGATCAAAATACATTTAAGAGTAAGAAATGCAGAAAATGTCAACATGAGAGAACTACAAAAGTTCTCATGAAATATGTAGCTCAAAAAATATACATATGCCTGAACTGTTTTATATCCATCTTGCAAAATGATTTAGGTGAAAACTGTATAACTAAGCCATGTAATGCCAAAAACAGTTGTCTACCAATTTAATTCCAGCACAGAGCAATGGGGTTCCCATATTAACATGAAGGATGAAGACATGGACACTCTGCAACGTGCAGAAGTTCAGAGTCATGCTGTGTGTGACTGAGAAATAAACATGACAGAATAATCAATGAGTCCCCTGAGGTAACAGTCAGAGAAAAAGGGGATTCTTTTTTTTTTGTTGATAAGAACAACTCTTAGAACATGACAATTTCAACTAGAAAATTCTGGCAAGAGCATGTTTACTGATTCATATCTTCTTTATAGTAAAGGCTAATGGGTATTTAGGAAAAAAAATTCAACTCCAAAATGATTCTTTTTCTGCTACAAGAAAAAGAAGCAACTGAGTGACAAGAATGGGAACAAGCAGTGATGTTTAGGTTCTTTCTTTGCTGACTCCAGATTTCTTGGTCTATTTCGATAATGTGCTCAAGACCGGTCTTTCTGGAACATGTAGGGCCTCCCCTCATCCTTTACCATCAGGCTTCTGTGAGCAGCCTTTCTTTCTATTTTGATGACTCATCTGTACACAGGAGGGACCACCTATATCAAAAAGATGGCGAGCATCCTTTACTGAGATAGGAATCCAAGGTAAGAGGGAACGAGACCCCAGGAATATAAGGGTTGCCAGAACAGGAAATGTTGGGGTGACTCATATTTTGTAGGTGATAAAATAGGGGCCAAAATAAATATCTCCAGAGTCTCCACATCTGGCTTCCACTTAGATGGCCAGTACCCTGCGTACTAACTAGTGAGTTCCTAGTCAAACAGATGGGTTCTCTTAAAAACAAGGCAAAATAAAACAAACCACAACAAACAAACATTCAAGGAGGTAAGAGAGACATCATGATTTGGGGGGTATTCTTACAGTCATCATCCAATTATTCAGTTCGTCCTTTTGAAGTGCCACCAACCACATGGAGCAAATTCCACGACCACTTTTAACATTTTCGTATAGATGGGAGTTTGAAACACAACATCCTCATTACCTGCTCTTTAAAGTCATTTTCATTTGCGTAGAGGTCAGCATAAAATTTCCCTCTGGTGACCCAGAACTACATATTCTTACAAACCAACCAACCAAAGCACTCAACTGAAAAAGAAATAACAGCTTTTGAAAAAAGAAAAGACACAAACTTCAATATAGGATGGGAAGTGAAGAAAAATCATTTCTAGTGCCATCATCCTGAGATGACCACTGGTAATACTCTGTATATGCCATTCTAATGCTTTTTTGCGGGGAGGGGTTAGATGAGTATATATTTTTTCTTAAAAATGTGATACTATTTAAAATATATAATCATATTATACCTATTTTTACATAAACTTTTAAAACTTAACAGAACATGATTCCCTTTCTGAGTCATTTAATATTCTCTACCAATATTTTTAATGGCTTTCTGATTTTTATACCATGCTTAACAACTTTCCTAAACCAAGATTACATAAATATTCATGTGTATGTTCTTCCAATACTTTTATGGACTCAAGTTTTACATCTGAATTCTGAATCCATGTGGAATCTATTTTGGTCTATGATATGAAGTATGGTTCTAATTTTAGTCCTTCCAAATGTTACTGGAAATCTGTCATTTTTGGCTCCCCAGCATTTGGGCACTTTCCCACCCAGGGAGATGACACAGTGTCCTGCCTTGTGCCACAGTAGCTGAATGTGGGCAGCCATCCCTTTCCCTCCGCCAGCAATATGGATGCAGGCCATCACCTGATGACAGAGTTTGGATGTGTTGTTCCCCCAAAACTCATGTGGAAATCTGATCCCTAATGTGGCAGTGTTGGGAGCTGTTTGAATCACGGGGGCAGATCCCTCATGAATGGATTAATGTCCTCCCTGAGGGGTGGCAGTAGTGTGTGAGTTCGCTTTATTAGTTCCCACGAGAGCTGGTTGTTTAAAAAGACCCTGGCACCTCCCCCCCCCTCCTGCTTCCTCTTGCCATGTGATCGGTTGTACCTGCCGGCCGTCTGCCACTTTTTGCCATTAGTAGAAGCAGCCTGAGGCCCTCACCAGACGCGGCTGTCCCAGAATCATGAGCCAAATAAACTTCTTTTCTTTACAAATTACCCCGTTTCAGGTATTCTGTTAGAGCAACATAAGAACGGACTAATATACCTGGGCTCTGCCTTTGAATGTTCCTGCCTGCGCCTGTGAGTGGAGGGAGTGACAGAAACACAGTGACAGCAGCATGGTACCATCCTACCCACCCTGTTCCTGTGGCACAAGGGAGACTGTGTCCCCAGCTCCTTAGTCTCTTTTGGTTCCTGTCATCTTCTGAGCTCGGCTTTCCTTGGACCCTAAAATACCCAACATCTTTCCTATAAATTCTTCTTCTGCTTAAGCTTGCCAGAATTAATTTCTGCTATTTTCAACCCAAACTGAAACTGATGAAGTTAGCTGGATGTTAACCACCACCATTTAATAGATAATCTATACTTTCCCCACTGATGAGATGCACCATTCTTACTGTATATTGCTTTCCCAATACATATACTTAGGTCTCTTTCTAGACTTTAAATTGTTTTTTGTAAATCTATCTCCAGATAGTTCCACACTTTAGTTATTTAAATTCTTTAATAGTATTACTACTGTTTATAGAATAATTTCTCCTTCTTTCTCAAAATTTTCTTAAATTTTATCATGCATTTATTCTTTCCATTATATTTTAAAATTTGTTATTCATGGCATATAGAAAATAATAGTTTTTTTTTTTTTTTTGTCTTTTTTCCGTGTCTGGCAACGGATCGCAACCCTCAGTGTTGCCCCCGTACCGGACCGGGGACCGGCAACGGGATTGCAACCCTCAGTGTTGCTCCCGCGCCTCACTCAGCCAGTGAGCGGGAACCGGTCTGTATGTGGGATCCGAACCCTCGGGCGGGAGCGCCGCCGCGCTTCCCAAGCGGCGCACTATCCAGTGCGCCACCGGGCCGGCCCATAGTTTTTTTTTAAAGTCACTTATTTGCTGTTTATTTAATATCAGCTTTACTGACACATAATTCATATACTATAAAGTCCAACCTTTTAAAGTATACAATTCAGTGGTTTTTAATAAACAGGTCATCCCTCAGTATCTATGGGGGACTGGTTCCACGACCCCGCATGGATAGCAAAATCTGAGGATGCACAAGTCTCTTATATAAAATGGTACAGAATTTGCATATAATCTACACATATCCTCTTGTATACTTGAAATCATCTCTAGATTACTTATACCCAGGTACAATGCCTACACACCACTTTATTCGCATGGATTCAACGTAGCATTGGTGAGCAGGATATTCAAGTTTTGCTTTTTGGAACTTTGTGGAATATTTTTTCCCCCAAATATTTTTAATCCACAGTTGGTTGAATCCCCAGGAATGGAATCCACAAATATGGAGGACTGACTGTATTCACAAACTGTACATCCATCACCACTACCCAATTCTAAAGATTTTCATTACTGGAAAAAGAAACTTCATATCCATTAGCAGCCACTCACTATATTCTCTCCTCCCTCTGGGCCCTGGCAACCACTAATCTATTTTCTGTCTCTATGGATTTGCTTATTCTGGATACTTCATATCAGTGGAATCATACGTTATGCAGCCTTTATGTGTGGTTTCTTTTACTCAGCAAAATCTTTTCAAGGTTCATAGGTGTTGTGGCATGTATCAGACCTTCATTCCTTTTTACAGCAGAATAATACTCCACTGTATGAATATACCACAGTTTTTGGTCCATTCATCAGTTGATGGACATCTGGGTTGTTTTCACTTTGGGGCTATTTTGAGTAATGCTGATATGAACATTTGTGTACAAGTACGGAACCACAGAAGACTCCACATAGCTAAAGCAATCTTGAATAAAAAAAAACAAAGTTGGAGGCATCACACTTCCTGACTTCAAAATATACTATAAAGGTTTAGGAACCAAAATAGCACGGTATTGGCAGAAAAATAGACAAATAGATCAATGAAACAGAATAGAGAGCCCAGAATAAAACCCATATACTTACAGCCAACTGATTTTCTACAAAGGTGCTAAGAATATACAGTGGGGAAAGGACAGCCTCTTCAATAAATGGTGCTGAGAAAACTGGATATCCATATGCAGAAGATTGAAACTAGACCCCTATCTCTCACCATATACAAAAAATCAACTCAAAATGGGTTAAAGACCTAAATTTAAGACCCGAAACTGTGAAATTACTAGAAGAAAAATAGGGAAAAATGCTACATAAAGTGGGAGTGGCCAGCACTTTTTTTGAGTGAGACTACAAAGGCACAGGCAACTAAAGCAAAAATAGACAAATAAGACTGTATCATACTAAAAAGCTTCTGCAGAGTCAGGGACGCTATCAACAAAGTGAAGAGACAACTTACGAAATAGGAGAAAGTGTTTGCAAACTA